GCAAAGATTAACCCAACTCGGGAGGCGGACATCTCTCGTATTAGCGGCACCTGCTGGGCGACCTAGGAGAACTCACAAATCACAGCGGTCATCTGCGTACTGCAAGTCCCGAAAGCGGTCCACCAGGGAGCATTTCGATGTCGCAGGACAGACTTTTCCAGGGCAGTGTGCAGGTTCTCGTCCATAGCGAAGTTGAACAGGGATAGAGAGGTTGAACAACCCTGCCTAACACTGCTAGTGATACTGAAATGTGGCGGATGATCTCCGTATGCTCTCACGCCGCCCGAAGTTTGCTGGAGAATGTTTGCACGGAGAATGTTGATATACTTCTCAGGTACTCCCCTCTTCAGTAAGCAGTCCCAAAGAGCCACTTTGTCAGCAGTGTCAAATGCGGCTGGAATGTCCAAGAATATGCTTGTGGTTTGTCGACAGAACATATGACGATGTTCAAGTATCTGGCCGATCGTAAAGATGTGATCGATGTAGCTGCGACCAGCGTGAAACCCAGCTTGCTGTTCAAAGTCAAACTAAGCTTTATGTTCACGCAGGTGTTTTTCCTGCACGCAACTGTACATCCGCACGAATAGGACAGCGTGTAGTTTGTATACAACACATATAGGATTTATCCCACGGTGATTGAAGCCAACGGTCCGGTCTCGTTTTTTGTATACAGGTACAACCTCCGCTAATTTTCAGTAGTCCAAATCTGATGTAAGCAGGATGTCAGTTCACGGTTGACAGCAGGAGCCTCATATTTGTAGAGAGCTGGAAAAACTTCATCTGGGCCAGGTGACTTGTGTCGCTTCAGTAGGCGAAGCTCATTGGAAACTTCAGCCTCAGTCAGTGGATAAACATCCACGCACCAGGGATCACTGTGAACCCTGAAACATAGACTTCCTTGTGCTGATGTCCAGTTGAACTGAGCTTCAAATTGCTCTGCCCATCGTATCAGACGACAATGACCACTGTGAATTAGTTCACCGTCATTTTCACGCAAAATCTTACTCGCTGTCGGTCTTCTGCCTCCCGTGGAGCGAATAACTTGGAAGAGTTTGCGGGAGTTTCCTGAGGAGGTTGTCAGTTCCATATCAACGACACGCTGTGTCCACCAAACCACGCGATCCTTCCCGAGGAATTGTCTAAGCTCAACACCTGTGGTGCTGTGGGAATCACTCGACTGCTTTCCGTCAACTGGAAGGGCTGTGGAGATCCAGTGACTAGAAGCCCGCCCAGTGATGCCACAGACCAGGATAGCGGACTTTTGTGAAACCATCGGAATCTTTGCCCGGTGTGTCTCGACGTTGAAGGATAGAGGACCTAAGTTAGAGTCTAGTGTTTTCTGGAATGCACGGATACTATTTGGAGCGACGAGCTTTTATGCGTCAAGCCGTTTTTGGCGACGCCTTTGCGCACCTCCAAAGCGCTGAACGACCTTGTCACATCCGAGTGCATGATCCGAAGTCAAGTAACTGTTCCAAACTGACTTGGTGTCCGTTATGCAACCTCGCCAACAGTAACTAATAGTGCTATGGTCAATCTGTCTCTACGCTTGTTCAACTGCCGGAGGTCCCTAAGTGGCTTATTGGTGCTAGGAACGCCAGAAATTTGTGCTCGTAAGGAACAAGCCGTTGTCGGCGCACAGTTGTAGGAGTCGATCGCTGTTGGCCGTCCTGCGATTACTGTGACTGTGTTGACCCCAAATTCGCGTTCATAAACCTCTAGTCTACCGACCTGCGCATTTAGGTCTCCGGTGAGTACCACAATGTCCGTGCGGCGTTTATTGTAGAAGCGTTCGATGAGTTGGCAGTGGAACTCATCTTTAGCTGCATCCGGGCTTCAGTCCGTAGGAGCGTTTTCCGCTATAATGAACATACAGCGCCTACCAGTCCCGTGGCTAGAGGACCGCACTGAACTTTCCAGGTGGACTGCACAGAGACGGTTGTTGACCGGAAACCAGAGCGCTGCCTCAGCACACGCGCTTAACGCGACTACTACACCGGTGCAGCCAGAAGTTGCAGCTGTTGCATCTTCAGATAAGCGCAAGGCGAATGTGCAATTGAAACTTGGGGATGGTGAGAGCAGTCGCAGCGTTTTACTGGAGTCCTGTAAACACGTTTATGTTAGGCAGCAAACTTTGATTGAGAGGGTTTCCAAGGTGCCCACAATGGCAGCTTGTGATCCAACGTGGATTAGGGTTCGAACATTGAACGTAGCTAATTTGAATAACGAGCGAAGTGCAACAAAAGTCTTAATGTTTGTAATAGGATTGTGTGTGATCAGTTTTGAGTGGTCCTTTATGAGGCCAGAGGTATCTTTCTTTGCAATGCTCTTTTGGAGATTCGAAGAGGGAGGGGTTACGAATAATAGGAGGGTTGAATTAATGTGGAACGAAGAAGATAGTTTGCGATGTGGTAGAATGAGATTTAGCATGCCAGGCCGCCAGCGCCTCAGCCAAAGAGAGAGAGAGAACCATGAGCAGAAAGTTATAAATCCACCATCTCATGTATTGTGTAAGTATACAGCTTTTCGGTTGCCCAATAATGAGGGAGGGGTTGACTTATAAGACCCCACCTGGAGCCTTCGGTCATAAGGACCAGGCCTGCAAGACAACGAGGCGTATTCAGGAAATCGCGCCCCTTGGGAGCCGGTCACTTATCGTCCGGTTCATACGCCTTTTGTTTGGCGGACTACCAAAACGGTGCCCAATGCTCCTAGCAATTGAGCGTCCAGGTGAAGGACTACAACCCACTGAGGCGAAGCAAGGAGCTGTGACTTTATTTAGTGGCGAGTCACATCCGTCACGTTAAACGGACATACGTGACGTTTTAAAGGGGGAACGCTTGTCCGGCGAAAACCCACTGCGTCCTGGAACACGGTCTCCGAACATTTTGTTGGAACGGGTAGATCCAGAACCACCTAGCTGGCACAACGAGGAGGTAATTTGGCAAACCAGCACCTGTGGGAACTGTCACAGATATGGGCAATGTCGTCGGCCCCCTCCAACTCAAGAAGTCGCCCACCTGGAAGCTGCTCCGCACTTTCCAACTCGTGTTCAGTGAACACAGTTTCCATGATTTCCTCAATGGAGAAGTTTAAGGGGAAAGGTGACAGCGGCAACCTTAGCGCACACTGCTGAAGAAATTGAAGGATGGCGACCGTTTGCCATAAGCCCTCACTCTGCCCGAACCATACACGTACAGCGCTTTTATGACATTTACCTATTTGTCGGCGCACATTGATCCACCGAATGTCTGTGCGCTCATAGAGTCGTCACGGGCGTCCACCGGAACGCACCTGCAGATCAGCACTACAAGTGTGCGGTCGGAGTCCACGATTCTGCTCCAGATCGAGCGACACTTTTGGGCGCAATCTTTCTCTGGTGACTGATTGCGACGTGATTGATTTGCGTTCATGTCTGGTCCGAGGCTGCTATATGCCATATCGTTTTACTGTGGGTGTTGTGTCAGAAGTTTGTATTCGCCAGAAACAGACGAACATCTTCACACCGGTGCAATAACCACTCACTGTAATTATTACGGCAGGCTACACCGTTTTGGTCGCCCAGTTGCAGTTTATCAGTGACAATATTCATACTTAAGTGTTCAGAACACCAGCCGGAACCACAGTATCTGTACTTTTTATGACAAAGGGACTCGTTCATTTGGCGATAGAAATCATCTTTTAGCGAGTTAGCGTTACGGTTTGTGGGGTCTTAGCAATGGCAGACTGGCACTTGTCGTCCCATGGGATTTCGAAACTTTACACGAGTCAGTCAGTTTGACAGCGCACACACGCCTACTGAGTAGCACACAGTCGACCAGAGCAGTGTCGTCACATAAGACAAGAGCGGTGCCCACACGCATTTGATGAGCGTTTGAAGCTGCAGTGACTTCGGATAAACGCAACGAAAGTTATGCTAGTGTCGCAAAAATGGGATCGTATATGCAGCCTGAGTATTGCATGTAGATATGCGACGAATAGCAGACATCAATCGATAGGTTCTCTAATGTTCGCTTGAGTGTTGCCTGTTGACCAATCTGCAACAAGGTGCCCATGTTGAGGTATACCAGTATTAGTGCGGATCGGGAACCCCCATATAGAAACGGATGTACTGACATTGTCCGGTTGTTTGAACATGGACTTGTTGACTGAACCGAAGCGATGCTCTACGACTACGTGTGAATCGAAACTAGAAGACAAGCGGTTATTGAAGCAATATTGGGGAGGGCCGAGAATTGGGGGTTGAAAACGAGCGTAGCAAACGGTAAGTTGGAGCAGGACGATAAGGATGAAAAAAGCATAAGAAGAGGGAATAAGAAGACGGAAGGCCAGAGCAGAAGCACCCTGATCCCTATCCACTCTGCTCGATGCAGCAGATAGGGCACCATTAATTATCCTCTGCGACGGCCAGAGCATCAAGACATTGGTGAGAGAGTCATTGTATTGTATTGTATTGCGTGGGCAGGATACAGTCGGGTTGTCCAGATCTAGACAGGAGAACGATTAGGGTCCTCAACCAAAACTGCAAAGCAGTGAGGTTTTGGCATTGGCTAAAGAGAGTCCATTTTAAAAGGTATCGAGCTACCCTCACTCTAACCATCAACCTGGGGTGCATGAGCTTGAGTTCGGATGACCTGTAACCATTGGCCAATCTCGGATAAGTGGTTCTCAAGGTGCAAAACACCACCCAGCATAGCTCAGTGGATCGTTGAGGTACGCAAAGCATTCTACCACGTCGAAGCCCAGTTTCGTCGCCATGATCCTCGAACTCACGAGAAAGCTCCGCTCGTTATTTCCTATCCATCTTTTGGAATTGTGCTACGGCATGATCTGTGTATGGTGTCGAGCGCCTGCATCGTATCTATTATAAGGATATCAGTCCGGTTTCCGAACGAGTTAAATGTAGGACACATTCTTCGGTCTTCCCTTAGTGTTTACCAATTGCTGTAAACCTTCATTCTCTTAGCACATCTTTTTATCTCTTTGTCTTGTTCTCTCAGATTGATGATGTCAATCCTCTTGGATTCGAGAAGTGAGACTGCCACTTTTGTCCACATCAACGCTGAGGGCGAGTGGAGTTTGGCCCCTGATGACGGAGTGGTGGATGTTCACTCTCCCAGTAAAATGGACACTGTTGAACCGAAACTCTCTCCGACTCCCGTCTTAAGTGATCCGCAACTCCCCTCAGTCGTTACTCCTTTAGAAAGGTCGCAGTTAGCCACACAGCGGCATTCCAGAGAATCTCCTCCACCTCCTACCTCTAATGAACCACCCACCCAACCAAGTGCGGATAACGACGTTGAGGTGATTATTCTAAGCGATGATGAAGTCGAAGCGAGAGAATCGGCTGTCCTATCATCTGTCGAACAGCATAGCCAACAACACACTCATGTGGAATCCTTAATTTCTCCTACGAAAAAAGATCGTTCAGAGCCACCGTCTAACTTGCCAAAAGAGGCAGTTGGACATACCGGCACCCATAGGTGAGTTTTACTAAGTATAATTGTCTAGCCGTGCGACTCAGCTATCCTCTCCTGAAGGATTAATCCAGTGTTTACATCTAATTATTTTACTCAGATCTTCACCATGCATTTCACCGCGTCCGTTTTCATTTATGACACGCTCGCTCTAATGGGGTGCTTTTGAATCTATTTATGTACACGCAGTGGTTATCTTGCGTAATACTTTCCAACCTTGCTTCGTAATGGCGGCATGTATAATTCGTTCCGGTTAAAGCTTCCTAATTAACCTAGCTCATTCGTTGGTGCTGCACCCTTTATTCCGTGTTTAAGTGCACCGTTCTGACACTTCCATCGCACGTCTCATCTGCAGTCAGCCGGCGGAGTATCTATGTTAGTTACTGTGGTACTTACCCTAAAAATCTCTGTGTATTAAAGTCCGTGTAACGAAGATTGCTTGTTTTGTACCTTCCGTTCGGCGTTAATTTCCATTCAACTACCGGAGCCACTTGCGATACCGGTGTTACCCTGAACAAGCGAGCTGAACTAAGTTTCCTCCAGTGGGTTTCAAGGAATGGTTGAACATCCATGTGAGTTAGTGAACACTATCGGAGGACGCGGTGCCTCTTCACCGTTTTGGCTACTTTCTGTTTGACTACTACACAGTAGCAGTGAAAGGGGTTTTTTGCTGACAGTTGTCATCTCTTATTCGTGCTTCTAAGCATGAATATCCAACAGGGTCGCTTCTTAGAGGACTAACACCGTCGGTAAGGACGATTTACAGTCAATACCTGCCGGATTTATACTGATGATCAGTTTCCCCAACTACATGCAATCCCTCAATGATGTGGTTTTTCATCTCAAACACCCACGTGACGTTACCTGACGCCCACCAAACACTGTGCTGACCTTGACCCACGTTCACCATATTACCGTTAACTGCAGATGGTGCATCTCAGTGCAAAATCTTATCGGACCTGAGCTCTTAAGGCCGCAACTCTACTTAGCGGCCTGCTAACAAGTTTAGAGCAGGGTGTCAACATGGTTGAGGGCGCAGTCACCCCTTATGCAACCACCTCTGGGTGGGTCCACGCAAACCATTGCATGCTTCGAAGTGTCCTTTCCTTTTTTAAACTGAATGGTGCTCGCCGTAGTCAATCGATTCACGTATCTAGCTAGTTGGATGAAGCTCGCTAATCAAATCACTACATGCCTCATCAAGGTCTATGTGACTTTTCAAGCCTCAATCGCGCTTGTGTGATAGTACCTTACCCGTCAAAGGGGTTTGTGGTGCGCCTACCGTTACTATATGAACCAGAGATAACTGTTGATTGGAGCGTAGATGACCTACCACATTAACTCGATTTTCTTTAAACTCAGCGAAGTTGAGCATTATTCCGATAATACTGGTGCATTTATAAATGTAACAATGGACACGCTACGGGATCTGTCTACATCATCAAACAACTGACCTGATCTATATTATCTGACTGGGCGCTTGCCTGCCTGCCAGCTCTCAGTGTATGGTTATCATATTTACTCTCTCGGTTTTATCAGCTCTTTAGGATTAGTTCCCTTTTCGCTAATGATCATGGTCGTCTGCTTCATGCTTAGACAAGCAGCGTATCCCACATCGATTCCTTTTTAAGGTTCGCTAAATATCGACTCAACCAGACAATTAACACACATCCAAAAAAGCACTGGACGGCTGTTTCGCCCTAATGAGACTCCGGTTCCGCGCATCCTTCTGGATCCGAACCCATGACCTTATTCTTACAAGTCAGCCACCGAGCCGTTGCTTTACACGCTCGTTATTTGCACGTTAGTGGAGGATGAGCTGTGCTACATCGCAGTTCTGAGCCAGTCGTGGTGGTCCGCCGCTGTCATTCCTGATTCTCTAACTGTGTCTAGCTACCATGTATCTTCAAATGAAACGCGCCTTCGTCATCTGCCTGTCACTTGCAGTTAAATCACTTTTCCAAGCGACGATTCTGAAGCGCATATTTTTCACAGAGCGACTCATTCGTACGCCAAACAAAACCCACTGCCGATGCTGATCGCTTCTATGATCATTTATCAGTTCGAGTGCACCTGTGTTGCAGTGTATGCCAATCGAACTGCGCAACACTTGTCTGATTGCGCTATTGCGCACCATCCGCACTGGTCACACCAAGGTGGCACTGGAGCTATCAACCGTTCCGCTTTGGTCCACCTTATAGAGACACCGACGATCAAGTAGGCTTAAACCATGCCTTTCCTGCAATCTACACCGTCTCTCCCCTGTAATCGAAAAGCGGACGCCTCCGCACACTTGCAACAGCCGAGATGGTCTGCATACTGCTGTTGCAATTATTTTCCTGCTCACAGTGGAAACTGCTCGAGGTTCTGCAGCTACCTTGGCCAGTGAGAGCGAAAGACGCTGAGACTAGTTGCACTGGATCAGAAAACGCTAATGTCCTAGGTTGGGTTATTTTTCGGTTCACGGCCTTGGCCGATACGTGGTTTGTTTCATTTAGTCTGACCAGCCGTACTCCTTTATGTGATTACTAAGATCTGACGATAATTTGTTAAGGACAACCTCTGATGTTGTTGATACTTACATGGAAAATTTCTTTCAGTTGTAACGTACATCGCTGGAAAATTCACTGGCGAAGCAGGAGCTTGTGTCTACCATCACCTGGCCACGTTAGCAGTCTTTTTCGGTTTCTTGCCCTTCTTATGCAATAGTATAGGGACGCGCCTCTGAAAGGCAAACGGGAACTACCTTTATAGCAAGGGTTCAAATTCCATTCGCGCACTAGGTTTCCTACGTTTTCTACCCGGTGGTCAAGAAGCTGAGTCAGGTCCTTAGGTTTTCCACCAAGCTTGCTCTAGCCAAAACGTCTGTACACTTCTTCGACGAGTATATTGAGCTCAATGAATACTCAACCAGACTCTTGCAACAGTTGTGTGACGTGATCGGAATTGCTCTAATGGTAAAATACTTAACCACATATGTCATGCCGGCATGACACTGTGCAATCCAAAGTGTCCGAATTCGAACGCGATTTAGCACAGCACCTCTTTTTGCGGCCGAGGAGCTAGTCACAGAAGAAAAGCGGATGTTCCTGGATTGTGTTCAATCTATTACTAACGACCGATCATGACTAAGACGTTTGGCTTTAGCAACGGCAGACTGCGTTCCCCAGCAGACTCGATAGATATGTGCACGCCATTTTAGTCGGTGTTGTCGCTTGGTTTAAACTGTTGCGCCCCTACACACAGAGACAACCAGTTGCACTATAAGTTGCCAATTTAAAGTCTACTTGATCGAACAAACGGGCTACTCGATCGTGGATCTGGTGTACCCTAAATGTTCCCTGGTGAACTGCTGCCCTCTGACACGTAAACACTTAGACGCTCTGAAAGCGCTAGCAAGCAGCAGTCATACGATCTTATGTGGGCCGGACAAAAATACCAGAGTTGTGCTTTTAGAAACGATTACACAGACAAACTAGCAAATTTGCTTAGCGATGAAACGAAGATTTTCTGCCCTCTGGAGGAAAGGGATTAAACGGAACCAATTGAGAGACGAATTACTAATAGCCTGGAACCAGTTGATACGAACATTCCTAGACTTTATGGTTTGCCGAAAATTCTTAAGGCTAACGTTCCACTTCACCCTATTGTTCCATAGTTAATTCGCCCCACCATGCACTTGCACTTTAGCTTGTCAAAATTCTTTAACTAGTAACGCTGCAGTTTGCACATTTTAACCTTCGGGATGGTTTTCAATTCATTGAGAACATCCGATGTTTTAGCAAAAATAAGTAAGTGTTGTCGTATCTCTTTTCGCCAACATTTTTCTGCTTGGGACGACCGATTACATATGTAACCATGTAACGAATTCAGATAAAAGGTGTATGTCACGGTGCCTGAGCTGTAGAGTCTCCTTTTGCAGTGTACCTGGAATATACATAGAGCTAATTTGCCCACCCATTCTACCGATGGTCATTAATCGGTCTGATCCTTTCGTTGTCAACTGTTTTGCTCACCTTTGTCAGCCTATAACATTATTGCCTGCTGAAGTCTCAATATTGCTGAGTGTTGTGTCCCCAGGGTTCGACTTAGCCGCTCCTTAGATTGCGCCACGCGAGTCAAAAGACAACGCACCGAACAGGAAGTATATTTGCGAAACACTACACGGGCCGACGTGGGTATGAAATACACTCTGATTACAGTTCAAATCACGGCTGAGTGCTAATTTGAATTTATCGATCTCAGTGAATCACGGGACATGTGAGTGGTATGAAACAAGCGATTGTGACAAATGTTTTGCCACACAGAAAAACTCTAGTCTGCAGTCATGAACGGCTACACAAGCATACCTAGGTTTTTCTTGCACCTTCAACACTGAGCTCTAAATTGCTATCTGTTAACTAAGCACATCACTCGACTTGTTGGTGACGCGCACATCAAATGGCCACTAACACTGCTCTGGTCTACTGCATCTCAAGGCTACCTTCCGCCGCCCTATTTAACGGAGCTGATGCGTATATCAAGGCGGAGCTTTTGTTTGTCCGTGCTCTGTATATAAGGCTAGCGTATTGAGGTGTAATATCTCGAAGTTACTTTGGACCATGCTATTTATTCGTCTCTGTTTTTCCACACGATCTTTATTTTATTTGGATGGGATGTCACCCTAGATATACTTTAGAACGACTGGCGCTCAAAACTGTATCGTGACTTCATTTGTTGTCGTTGGTTTGACAATTGCATTCGGAACGCGCATTGTTGTACTATCACAGTACCACATGTGCTTGTCACCTACTCTCAAATCACCATGTCCCTACTGATGTATTTGGTTTTTGTTTTCTCGGCAGTTTCGCCAATCCCGATGGGATTCAGATCGATCTCACAGCTGACTCCGACGATGATTTTCCGGCGCCTGGTTTACGAGTGCACAGTGCTGTTTCGCGAGCGGATAGGACACCTGACACCGGTACGTCCATAACTCCAATCCCTCCATCACCGGTCATCGATGAGGAGTTCTTACGAAACAATCGGCCTCTTATTCTCATATCTCCTCTTCCCCCGACTGTCAATGGGCTTAGTCCGTCTGTTGATTTGTCGACGACATCAGAAGTCCCTCCGCTCCGTCAAAAGTCGCCTCCGGCCGAGTCATCACTCTCTTCTCTCTCTAGTTCAACAAGTGTATCGGCGTCGAATGAAAATTCCAAAGTCCCACATTCCCTGGATTCCAATCGATCTGAATTGGACCCCACTTCATGCCGTCGCCTATTTGATTGCATCGCTCAAATGCGCGCAGAACATACAATCACATCTACTAGCCACACAAACTCTTCGACCGATCCAAAAAAGTCCGTTTCCAGGTCTGAGAGCACTAATTCACGCGATAAAAGTCGGCGCCTATCTTCCGGGAACAATGGCGTTTATAAATCAAAAACATCCAGCAGTCGTGGTTTACGTGAGCCGAATTTTGTGCGTCCAGTCGCCTCATACTTGGATGACCCATCGGACCTGAACAATTGTGTTCCAGGTTTGGAATTGTCCGACTATTCTGATGGTAAGTGCTGTTCTGTTGTACGAGTCGTTTTTCTCTACATCATGTTTCTTGCACATCTGCACATCAAGTTCGCCTTCATATCGATTTCGATCGGTAATTAGCGGCTTATGAAGCCGAGTTCCTAAAACACAGCTCATGCATATTCACGTCCGAAGGATAGATCCGGCGTCCTAGGGCCACCTTTCTTGTCCATTGTCATCCTCTGACTGCGGATAGCATCGTCCGGGCCACATCTTGCTCCCTTCATCTTTAGCTTAGTTTACTTCGTTCTTTGCACTTAATATCATTTTTATCTGCTTTACTATCCTTGGTGATACTGAATTACTTTCACACGAATACGTGTGTCGAGTCTAGTTGTCGAAATTCTATATTACCCTGATTCAGTCATATTTATTACTATCTTTGGAATGGCGAACAGATTCCCTACGGTATTTGTTCTTAAGCTGTTAGTCATATCACAAAAGCTATTGCATGCATTCTGTGCAGCATAGTTTATTACTTCGTGGGCCATTTTCGTGTTATTCTGGAGATTTGTCACTTTTTTTTACCGTATGTTAGCGTCGACAGTCTAAAATTGACCCAAGGGCAGCCGAAAAGTCTGGTAGGCAAAGTTGCAAGCGGATAAACCCTAACCTGTCTTGCTCTGTTAAGTAGTTCTCTATTTTATTGCAAGGATCAAAATGCGCTTCTCACTCGAACAATATATATATATATATATATATATATATATATATATATATATTCAACAGTTTACCAATTACACAACAATTTGCTGAGTTGTACAATAATGGCTGTTATGGAAGAAGAGTCTCACAGCAAGTGCGCCATTGTGTACGATCCTTGGCCATATCCTGTAGCGTTGGCAACCAGATGTTCTTGGGGTCCTTTGGTCCCCAACCCGGAAGTCGGGAACGACCAATAACGGCCAGCTTCGATGTTTGCGCCTTAACGCATTGGATGCTAGTTTTATTCTGGCATCCTTGTAGTCGCTTCCATCTCACGCCTGCACTTGCAAATAGGACATGTCTTGGTAGCCTCTGGGTAGACATGCGAAGCGCATGCCCAAACCAGCGAAGCTTCCGCAGTGAAATGATGCTGCCAAACTATCGGGGGAGTTTGTCAGATTTGAAGACTTGCCGACGGACTTCCTCATTGCTGATGTGATGCTGCGATTGAACAGCAGAAAGCCTGCACAGGCAGCGGTGATCGAAGACAGATAGTCGCTGAAGATCACTTTTGCGAACGGACCAAGTCTGGCATAAGTACAGTAGAATCGCTCGTACCGTAGCATTGTAGACACATTTCTTGAAAGCGTGGTTGGGGTTACGACTATGCAACAGGTGATGGAGGTGAGCCGAAGTTCCACTAGGCTTGGGGACACGCAGCGAGATCTCATTTGTCAAACCACCGATATTAGGACAACTCCTAAGGTCAATAAATTTATTAACGACTTCCATCGGATGCTCCGCAAGGGCAAGCGTAGATGCATTCGGCTAGTGTTGTAACAGGATCTTTCACTTGGAAGGGACACAGATCAATCCAACTCGGGAGGCGGACATCTCTAATATAAGCAGCACATGCTGGGCGACCTAGAAGGACTCACAAATCACAGCGAGGTTATCTGCGTACTGCAAGCCCCGAAGGCGGTCTACCAGGGAGCATTTCGACGCCGCAGGACAGACTTTTCCAGGGCAGTATGCAGGATCTCGTCCATAGCGAAGTTGAACAGGGATAGAGAGGCTGAACAACCCTGTCTGATACTGCTTGTGATACTGAAATGGGGCGGATGGTTTCCGTATACTCGCACGCGGCCCGAAGTTTGCTGGAGAATGTTTGCACGGAGAATGCCGATATACTTCTCAGGTACTCCCCTCTTCAGTAAGCAGTCCCAAAGAGCCACTTTGTCAGCAGTGTCAAATGCGGTTGGAATGTCCAAGAATATACTTGTGGTTTGTCGACAGAACGTATGAGGGTGTTCAAGTATCTGGCCGATCGTAAAGATGTGATCGATATAGCTGCGACCATCGCGAAACCTAGCTTGCTGTTCACGCAGGTGCTGTTCCCGTACACAACTGGGCATCCGCAAGAGTAGTGCAACGAGTAGTTTGTATACAACACAGATAGGACTGATCCCACGGTGATTGAAGCCAACGGTCCGGTCTCCTCCGCTAATTTTCAGTCGGATGGGATGGTTTCAGTAGTCCAACTCTGATGCAAGCAGGATGTCAGTTCACGGGTGAGAGCTGGAAGAAGTTCGTCTGGGTCAGGTGACTTGTGGCGCTTCAGTAGGCGAACCTCATTGGAAACCTCAGCTTCAGTCAGTGGATAAACATCCACGCACCAGGGATCACTGTGAATCCCGGAAGATAGACTCGGTTGTGCTGGTGTCCAGTTGAACTGATCTTCTAAGTGCTGCTACTCTCGAACTACATAAGTGTCTACCACTTAACTGAGGTCTGCTTCCCTGAAGTTCACTGTTTCCTAGTGGGATCGATTTCTTCACCTCTATGGCATGTGCTTCTTCCTCGGTGTATGACGACAGTATAATGCTGTTGCTGGCAGAACACATGGAAGAGAAAACGGAGCCCGCTATCTTTACGTGGCCTTTTTGCCTTATGTAGCACAGTCTCCTTCATGTCTACATGCTGTTTTGTTACTGAGCATAGACTACATACTGCCTGGCCGCAATTGCGGGCAGTCCATTACACGTAGTAACTTTGAATTGATCACCTGTGGCGCGCATCTCCTCATAGTCCATAATCGCGTTAACCGCCACGGCTGCAGTGTTTGCGTATTGCATTTCTGTGCGGACAAAGAGTTGCGCAGACCGATTAGTGTGCCACAGATAAACGCATGGACACACTCAAAACACTTCAGTCTCTACCTACCCGTCCGGCGTATGCTCCAAGGGTAGCTTGTTCTAAATTTCATCATATTCATTCGTGCTCTGCAACCTTAACTTATTATACCTCTGCTGCTCTCTTTTCACACAGCTGAAAATGAATTCATCGTGACGACGACCCCGGCATTCCCCTGTTCTTCAACGAGTGGGCGCGAGCGTCCACCTATTTTGAAGACGAACCAAGCCACCGCCTTGGCCCGTTTGATGCAACAGCGCTCTGGCCGCCAGTCGACCCCAGCTACAGTTTCAAACACCAGTCGCTCAACTAACGCACCTCGAAACTGCGCAAGACGTGGCGGAAGCACCCACCCTCCCAATGTTCCCCCGGCTTCTTCCTCCAAGCCGCTTTTCCATAAGCGGTCTAGACGTCGTGTCCTTCCAGGGGTGGAAAGTGAAGAAACAGACTCTTCAGATAACTTATCTGAAGTAAGCTCAGAAATGTCCTGCGTCTCTGCCTCCGATCCCTCCGGACCATCGTCCTCTAGTTCCTTGTCGAAAAACAGCGAGGAGGAGGAGGAGGAAAGTGAAGAGTCCTCCTCATCCGACGATCGCTGGTCTCCCTCACGGTTTCGTACTGTACATACCACCAAGCGAGGAAAACGCAAAATGCTATCCCGACGGTGACACTCCGACTTTTTCAGACTCCTTCTACTTTTCTGTTTTATGCATTTCTGACATACTACGCTGTCCGGAGACAGAGAAACTCCCAGTTCCCGTGTTCTCTCCATCGGCGTGCACGCTATCCATACGTGCGTGCCGTTGATGTCAGTATTATTTCTCTGACTTAACTGGCCTTTCTTATCGCCTTGGCACGGTTGCACTTATCGTCGAACATTAAACAGTCTATTATACACATCTTTTTCTTCCTTTTTTCTTTTTCCTACTTGCCAACACGTGCGCTGTTCATCTTCCCTTAGCTGCTTATTCTTGGGACTTACCACTTTCTCTTCGATTTCAGATGGTACACACACACACACGCGTACATCCCTGTAAATATTGATAGTCATTGCTGTTACTATTGCCACCGTTATCATTGTTCTCATCGTTGTACTGGGCAGTAACACTGTCTCCTCGTGGAGTGTTCGGCCTGTCACATTTCTACGGTTTATTAGTCGGAAGCAAAGAACGATCTACTCACCTCTGCTTTCTATATCGCTTTCGGTTTCCTTGCAGTCCACTTGCGTTAACTCAGCGTGCTCACTTTTACGTCTGCTTGTATGATGGTGTGCACACGACTTCCTGACCACCACGTCTGCCCTAATCTGGGTTTGAGCATTCGCTTATTCTTGGCTATTGCCATCTGTGTTAGCCATTTACCTAGCAAGCATTTATCATTTCCCATGGCGTCGTCGTTCGAGTGGGGGTGAATCTCAATCCTTCAGATGACCGCTCCAATGAGTCATGAACACCTCTGGAATACTCACTTTCGACTTCGAATTTTGATGTCTCAATCATCATCATCATCAATACATGATAGCTTAGGGTGAGAAACACACATCAAATTTTGACGCTGCCTGTTGTATTCTCCCCAGTTGTTTCCTTACTACACGCCCCGTTTCAACTAATGATGTTGGTATGAGTCCCTAAGATTTTCTCCTGCTGCCAAGTAACTGTACTTTGATCCCCGATTTGGCGGCTTATTTTACTCTGCATTCGATCGGGTTACGTCGATGAAATTGTGGCTGGTTGGTGTGAACCTCTTGGCTTGGGATCGAAATCACAGTCGGTCATTCCTAGGCTATCACCGAGTTTCCATTGTTATGTTTTAATTTAGGAATTCACATAGGAAACCACAATCTTTTCTCTGTTTAGGTTGCCAGTTCACCTCTTCTTCTTGGACGCCTTGGCTTTATCTTTTGGTTTCACGGTTATACTCTGACGAGATTTATGGCAAAGATTTTCTAACTTGGCATTCTTTTGACCCGTGGACAAGACCGGTAGCGTTTTCACTGTTAGCGAGCTTATATAACGCATGAGCCTATGACTCGTCAACAATTGGTTGGCCAGTAAAATAGTCTGCTTGTCCATCAATCTACTCTGGAACTTGATGGATGCTATGGCATTTTCCTTTTCTCTCGACGTGTTGAAAGAACCAATTGGTCGCATTCCCATGCAGGCTACTCAAGCCACATACACAAATCTACCGTGTTTGTACTGAATCGGAGACTGAGTGCAGTCCAGTTGTTAACTTCAACTCAATATGCGAACACGTTTGAATTTCATTGGCTTTTATCATACCCCTGATTTGTTTTAGTCACTGTAAGTAACCGTTCATGTGCGTATGTTCTATAGCGCCCGAAGCCCTATGGTAAGGAAAACATTTTTGTACGGAACACTGTAATCAACAACTGACAGGACTTCTCGACATACAACAATATATCTGCATGTGGGCATAGGTCCTCGGGTCCATATGAAACAGACCTGTGGTCGGTGCGTATGCAGTGGTAGTCCTTTGCTTGTGTTTTCGACCTCCGGCTACTTATACAAGGAGACTTTTCCGGGGATACCTGAAAATGTACCTTTGCTGTACGTTCTGTTAGGCAGTGATCACTGTGGGCGCGGAACCAGAGTTCGTTCGTATGGTGACATCAGATATCTATTGAAGATCAATCGGATAGGCGGCCACACATTTGCTTGTTTACTGTTCCATGAACTAGCTCATCCATGGGGTGAGCGTAGTCTCTGTCCCACAACAGCTCACCCATTCAAACCATGCTGAGGAGCTTACGCTGAGAATCTTGCAGCTTATCTGTACTTGTTTGACTCATTCCTTATCCTACTTCAGGTTCGATTATATCCCAGACAGGCCTACCAACGTTTCTGACAGTTATTTTCCACTACACAATAGATGCGGTAATTCGCTTGTGTGTGGCTGTCAACGAGTCGTTGGTGCTCACATGTATGCGGTGCTTTTCAAGCGCAATGCACTTCCACCAAAATGAATTGTTGGCTATTGTATAATACGTGTCTCGGGCATACTAAAGCAACTGTGCTTCTGAAGCACAGCTTCGGGCTTGGTGGTGGGGATGTGGCCAACGTCGGAATGGCCTCTGGCCCCCCCCTTGGAGTAGACATCAACTGCAATCGGATGTGACGAGCTGTCAACTGGTCTGGCGAAATCCACATGCACGCGCTGCTACCACGGCTTCGTTATTTCTGGTCATGGCAGGTAATCAAACAGTTGTGGGGCCATTGCATCATGACGCACTGTGTATAAGTAATATCGTTGATTATTTTCGACCAGAAGACTTCGGCTAATGGTTTGGTCGGAATGATGCCTTGATACCGCTTGTTGAACACGAATGGATCATTGCAATGAACCGGGGAACGACCACATTCTCGTCGTGAGTTACAGTTTTCAGGTCGACGCGAATCCTCAGCGCGGATGATAGGGGTTGCTTATAGAAATATGATATCCTGCGCTGTTTATCTTGTAAATGTCTGCAAAACTGGAGGGCATTTTGCGCGACCAATTGATTTCTCGATCATTCTTTACTGGGACAGTCACCGTCTCGTTGCTCTCGATCAGATGACTCGAAACTAAGCATGACAATTCGCCGGCTTCTCCAAGATCGTTGGTCAGTTTCTACTCGTTGCGAAATCAGTAGAGTGCAGATAGGATTCACCTTTGTAACCTGCTGACGGAGTTCTTGTGGTGCATTTATGGCTGCCATACTTGGCCAACAATGCTTAATGATCCGTAGCTAATGGGAAGTGTCGGCCACACTCCATTTTATATGACCTTGGAACTACGGTAACCAAAGCCTCCTCTTTCATTAGTGGCTGCTATTTTTCCGGCCTGTTCAATGATCAACCTCAGGTGTTTTGACTGCAATGGAACAATGGTATATGACGGGTAAAAAAGCATACACTTAACGAGTCCCGCAGGTTGGCAATAGAAATACTGACAAATTGGCAAACCACATAAGTGGTTGAAATAAGGAGTGTCAGTGAGATAAAAGGTAGAAGTATAACAGTTTTAGGGGGATAAAGTGGTACGACGCAAAACTGGCTAAGAAATTGTTATCGTTGGTGATGGTAGCAAATCAAAATGGAGTACTCACCGGTTCGCACAGATTTACGACCGTGAAGAGGCTGGTCAGCCTAAATATATACAAGCGTTTTCCTACATAAAACAAAGCGCAGGGCGCTCAGTGCGACGTCCAATCGTTTTTTAAACGTATCTAATGTGGGGGCACAAACAACTGAGTTTGGAAGGGCGTTCCAGGGCCCGCAGACCCGAAGGGAGAAATAGGTTCTCCGACAGTCTAGACGACTGTACTGTTGGCTCAGCTTTAAACTGTCACCACGAAGGTTAGTGTTCGGGCTGAGCTTCAAGAGGTGGCGGCATACGTGACTGGGATCGCTCAATATCTGGTACACTAGTATGAGGTCTCCACGAAGTCGCCGGTACCGTCCGCTGAACACTCGGAGTATCTCCAGTCGTTCCTGGTAAGGAGTGTGGCGCAAGCCCTTGACGATTTTCGTTGCTCGACGCTGTGGGGTCTCAAGCGCTGCAAGGTCACGTTTTAGCCAGGGTTGCCAGGCCTGGATTGCATATTCGACGTGAGGACGCACGTAGGCATTCAGCATCAAAGAGAAGATGGGTGGATCCAAAATTCCGAATGCTCTTCGCAGGAGTCCAACGTGCTGGTTGCCCCTTTTAGAAGCGGAATCTGACTGTTTGGAACACCCGAGGTCTTCCTGTACCAGCACACCCAAGTCGCGTTCCTGAGTGGTGGTCTTCAGATCGTGTGCCCCAAGCTTGTAGACGTGGACTTGTCGATGGCGGATATGAACAACGCGACATTTGTCCACATTAAACGGCAGGGCGTTTCTCACCGACCAATTCCAGGCCTCATTCAAGTCACGCTGTAGGACTTCCTGGTCGTCCGATTGTTTTATCGCCCGCCAGGAGTAAACTGTACTTATCCAGCTCTAAGTATAATCCGAAGTCTATAACTTTACCCAGGATCGGTGTTCACTTACACATGTGGATGGTCCCTTCCTCTGTGATCTTCCCAGTCTCACATCTACCTTTCTGATCCACACCTCTACTGTGTCACATCTGAATCATGTTTCAGATTAAATAGACGTTGATATTCCCACCTCGCCTTCAGTAACGTATATCTAGTACTAACTCACGTTTGACTAGTATTCGTGTGCAGATGTTCGTAGACTATATACAGACATCAAACCTTCGGATAGTGGCTCAATCGTTTGCGTTCTCTATTGGCTACACCGGTATAGATAATGTAGTCATCCATGAGACGTTTGACCAACTTCAAAGGCTTCTAGTATAAACTGAAATTTGGGAATGCTCGCTGAAAATTTGATCCACTGGTTGGACTCTATAATCGAATGCCCATAGAAACTAAAAACTCAGCTTTACCAAGTGATCTCTCTCCAATAAATCTCATCTGGCAGTTGCGCGCTCAAAATGATTTAAGTACCAATGCGGTGCTGAAAGTAGGACTGAGTTACGATTAGTTGAAGGGGTCAAAAACTTTGATGCCTAAATCCACCCGTACGTGATCCACCTGAGTCGACCAATGACGAATATCATATTTGGATGCCACCATTGTCCCCGCTGAATGAATTCCACGGCATAATGAGAGGTTAATCACATCATTTGCTTGCTTAGTTCGGTTGTAGTCTTGATCTCAGTCACTTCGGACGCGTTTAGGAGACGTTTCCTAAGCCCCTTTGGGGTATTGCTTCGGTGCAGTGTAGTGGACTATGAGTGACTGGTTCGAATTTTCAGTTGTGTCTAGTCCAAACGTCGCGATTTTCCTCACTGACGCTGGGTAGCGTTCTCTTATCCGTATCGACAAGCGCACCTACTCGTGTATCCGAGGTACTTTGCAAAAAGTGCAAGTAAATTAATGAAAACTGTATGCTTCAAGCTGAACTTGACGACTCTCTCCGGGACTTTAGCTAATAAACCGTGAAATTTTCGCAGTAACACTGGCACTCGGGCGGGCCTTATATGTCTCAGTCGAAAGCTTCCTGTTCGACAAATCGGAAGCGGTATCCTTTTTGTGAGAAGCTCTATCTTGCACTTATCATGGCGAACATCAGGAGCTCACGCGCCCTAGTGTGGTTCCTGATGAATCCAGAAACTTAACTATTTGCCTAGCAGGTATGTGTATTGGCCTACTCATTTGGTTTTCGGAGAAACGCTGTTAGCCATCTTCCTATTTCCCAATAATACGTGCAACAGCATACTGACTAAGGCACTATCAAATTCGTTTAATCCGGGATCTACAACTTTATCGACGAGATACATGATTCTCCTGCGACTAACAGCGGGTGAGTTTTAAAGCAACAACGATACTGCATGGGTTAACGTCACCAGTGTGATATTGAAGCGGGTAGAACATGGTTAGCCATAGCGTGGACAACTTTTAGCCCACTGCTACTCGTGAACTCTACACATCCAGCTGATGAGTTATCAGTTGTCTTCAGATCGAATGCAGTAGACAATGATACTTTCATACTGATGTGCTTGAGAGGTTACTAGTGAAGTCGTTCGGCTATACACATTGGGTGGACACTTCCTCGCCAATTCGATTTTTATCCTCCCTTAGAAATCGCAAACGGATGCGAGGAGTGAAAATTGACTTTTTCTAACAACTTGCTTCTTTTTATTGTGCCCACTGATTTGTGAGAAAACTCCTACAACGTGAGGAGCATTGGGCCCCTGTTTGACAAAGGAACATACGAAAGGCATATGAACTGAGCAATCAGTCACTGGCGCCATTCCCTGAATTCGCTCCGCTGCCTTGCGGGCAGGCTATTCAGCCAAAGGCTCGGGGTGGTGTCCCCTAAGTCAACACCCTACTTCGGCTCGGGCAACCGAGTAGTATCTCGTCCTCTGACGAAATCATGGACTTTGATGTTTTGTGTTGTGTTTTCTTTTACTGTTTCTGTACCTTGTTTTGAGTTCCATGGTTTCCGATGGCTCAATGTCTATTCACAGACTGTCGCAGTATATATATACATATATATATATATATATATATATATATATATATATATATATATATATATATATATGCCCAAATACAGCGTGCTTGTGTTTGCCTGTGAAGGAGCGTGGGCCGGCTCCGTTGATGAAACGTGGCTCCCATCCACATGCCTCCCGGTCTTATTCCTTCGGGTTAACACTGGATATGGGGTGTGTGGTTGGAGCTGTGAGTGGTGCAGCGCAAGCAATCCATGGTCCCTGTGTAGGCGCAGGCGTCCTGTGACTGCCCACAGTGACAGGCAAATCCGAAACCGGATGCCGCCAACCATATATACCTACAACGCGGATCTGCAACGCGTATTCCAAGAGGATTTGTACTGACTATGGAGTCTTTCGCAATTAATTACCAACTCTTCATCACTGAACTTTTTCGGAGGTATTTGGTGCATCAAAGAGCGTATATGAAGCAAGCTGGATCGGCAGTATTCCGGAATGCTCCAAGGAGGTACCCACGAAAATGTGAGTCAAACGCGGTGTCCGAAGTACGAGCTCACTGGACGCTCCATTGCTGCTGTCATCAGTCTAGCATGCGCGAAGAATCAACTCTTTTGCAACGCATTCCGCAAATTCCTAAATCATTTCAACATAATTGTGGATTGGATTGACGTATTCATTTCCATGCGTCCACCAGATCGACACAGATTTCCATTCAGAGCTGCGTTTGGGGTAGTTTTATGTAGATGTTTCAGTCTTAGCGTTTCTCTCCAACCTGAAGAGTTGCTGACCATTCATCGCGCTTAAAATACCAACCGTAACGTTAGCAATGATGACATACCTCATGTTTCTTTTATGTACTATGATTTCATAGAATTAGAACAATATACAAGTTACGTTTCGAAGCCGGTGTCATCAAACTGGACGCAAATCCAGTGAACAGAAGTTAACTGCTCGCTTCCCCTATTATCGATGTGGCTAAACTGAGGCTGGAGGCTTAAATTAGCCTAGCCGTGCTTTGAGAGCGCAACACGATGCTTAGGAGTTGTGTACGCAAGCACGCAGGTTTAGTTGGCATACTAAAGTGGAGTAGCCAGGTCTATTTGCGCACTTCATTCGTGGTGCCGTCCTGCGGCACACCATCATGTACAGCGTATGGGCGGTGATTGACTTGTGCACTACACTTCCTCCGTCTATAATACCCCATTATTTCTCTGGTTTCATCACGTCCGCTTGTCTCTCTCCATGCTATTCTTTAGCAATGCACCGTATTTGGATGAAATATAATTACGGAAAGCCAGCAGCAGTGAGCTACACAGGTAACGTTCCCTACGTCTCAGATTTTTCCTCTATCCGCACTTGTCTGAGTACCGCATCATTCGAGAAGGCGAAATTACTCATTTAGCCGGCAGCTGGCCGAAAGAATCACGCGTTTGCCTTGTCATACGGAGGTCCCCGGTTCGAATCTGTCTAGGTACAGGCGGTCTCGCGGTATACTCAACACTCGCGCGACTGATGATGATCTCGAGTCAGCGAAGCGCCGGTACGGTGTGCCTACGTACTGCTTTTGCTTTCTCAATCATCAAAGCAATTGCTTTCACGTTGACCAATGCGCGGCTATGATTATTCTTCTAACTCATTTAAACTGAATGCAGATGTGGTACCTCACATTCATAAATAAATAAGTAGTTTATTTCCCGATTTAACGAGAGACTGTGTGACCATGCATACTAGGCACACTGCTGCGAGTAGATATTGAAGAGAAAGGCTCAAATTATGAAATACCATCTCGCAAAATATCCAAGTTCTTGACAAGTCCCAATTTGACATTTTTAGAATGTAATCTTCGCCTTTGATTTTGAGGAAGATGGAGTATGCAACTAATAAGAAAGGTTTGTATCATGTGGTTTTGAAATCAATATCATCTTAATTCGTGACAAAACGTCGGTTGGTTTTCATCTTTGCCATTGTGGAACACAGTACATTCCAAAAGACGCGAGTGGGAATGTAGATCGTGCCGGAGATTTACCGGCTTGTTCTCTCCCATCACTGTGATCCACGGTCAGTGTTTTTCTTGTTCGAACTCTTCAGGCAGTGGTAACTCGAGCTAGGTGTGGTACCTAGCAGATAGTGTTTGGTGGCTGGCACCTTGACCACTTTACCGTTCAGCACTGTAGACAACTGTTGACGCGTATTGCGTCACGCATGTTTGGCTCGCCACACAAGGCCTCAACCGGCGTCTTCGTTTGCATACGGACATTGGGATCGCTACCTGTTTGTCAACGATGAGAGTGCGGATGAAATTAATGACCTGAAACTTAGTGCTATTGTGAACTAGTTTAACAACTCTCCCATGCTTCGTATTTGACCTGTGATCTACCGCAACTGTACCCTTCACCACTAAGGGGAATTTCTGGTTGGCTCACTCCATAGCGGTTCAGAAACTAGCACTGAACCAACGTTCACTGCTCAAATTGTTGTCATCTCATCACGCATTCCCTGGGTACCTACTGGCTTCTGAGCGTAACCACTAGCTGGTGATGTCCGTTTCCAACTTTGCTCGTAAATGTCGTTGCGAACAGCCACAGGACGCCTTTTCCTCCGCGAGGACCATGAGTGGGATAAACCGCACCACCTGCGCACCTCATCTCTAGCAGGTAAACCCAAAAGAATAAATCCAGGAAGCATGCAGATGGGCATTATGATTGATTCCAAACCAGCTTACAGCTCTTCAACTATCACGCACCGCTGATGCAAACTCCAGGGGACTGTGGGTACGAAAAGCACATCTGATGATGATTTCACGATATATTGCTCTGATCCCACCACTGCCATGAGAATCTAGAAAATATTAGCTGTCTGTGTTGGAGCCAGTAATCCAGTTGGACGTGTCTACCGCCAGCATTTACATTCAACATCCGGGAATGCGCTTCAAACGCGTCAATCGTTCAACATTGGCCTATCTGCAATAACACAGCATAACGTGTCTATCCAACCCAACTGTTGCCTCTCTTTAACAGTAGCATTTCTGTCACTGATTTACATTGCAATCCGCTTTATTAGGCTGTTACATTTTGCCGCCGAACATCAATCAGATCTATAAAACCACAAATGTATGCACACCTGTACAGACGGTGCCAATCTGGTTGAAATTTGACAAGTACTTCACCTTAACACAAGGCTTAGGTGAGTATGTGCTCCTTAGAACTGACACCGGGCATTGGATTTCTAGCGGTGCTATGAAATCTAATCTGTCTGCGGATGGATCTTGGGAGGCCCTAAAACAGCACCCATGACACACTTTCCGAGTTCCAACACGTATTGTGTACTTAACGACTGTGATATCTCCTCCGTTACTGTGAGGAACAAAGTGAGATAAGAATCTCCCGTGAAACAGGGTTTGAGCAGTTCGGTCAATCGAGTGCCACGACAATTGATTGTGGAGTTCTTCTTCTTCTTCAAATTTTGCAGCACGCTTGTGAATTTCGTAATCGATCGTTGAATATGCCAACATTCGCGTCTGAACAAGTGGTCCTTGGTGGACAAATCTACACTGTGTGCGGCTGCCGAGCTGGCCAGATCACCAAGAATTAGGGTTCCAGAGTGCACCAACCTGGTCCCATTGGTCAAAACATGCTTTACAAATATAAAGACATGTGACCTCGAGGTGACACTCCATCGTCCATTGACTCGTGTTCCACCCTCGTAACAGAACTGTGCCAGCAGATCGTTGAACTCACTGAGCTTGTTAATAAGCAGTTCCTTTTGATCCATGATGTGAACAGTGGACCCGGTATCCTTCACTTGAACTGGTCTTTTGCTTATCGCACAGTTTACTCGGTCGTTGTAAATATCAACAATGGATACGTACAGTGCGGCTTCCGGAGTTTCCCTCTCTCTAACCAAACGGAGAAGGTCAGCCACAGCGAACGATGCTAAACCAGGTTCCAAGTGGGTTCCCATGCACGTGTAAGTTTTTCCGCTGCCGCGTGTGCCGTGAAATAGTATAGTGGTATTGTATCCTTCGATAACTCGTTTCACTTGAGACGCCACACTTTGGTACACCTGACTGTGGGGCGCATCCGGAGTAAAAATCTGGGTAAATTGATACGTACGGAAACCAGTGTCTGTATAAAGACCTGTAGTAGAAAAGCCAGTGTATTCTCTGTTGGTACGTATGCCGATTTTCTCCTCTGTGAAAACGGCAAGGCATCCAGCTTCGTATGGTAGTCGGTTGGTGGTTGCCGTGCTCGTTTTTGGCTGGTCGCCATTTGACCGGATCCGGACAACCACGTGAACAGCTCCGGCGACTTCTTCCCAACGACTGGCCCACTGTTGCCTCTGAAGTACGTCTTCTTGATATAGCTCCAGCTCCTGACGACGACGTCGCAGGGCCTCTAGCTGGTCCTGATGGCTGGCCCTGCTAGTTTCCAACCGCAAATATTCATCCACCAACCGCCGACGTTCGAGCTCAGTGCGTACACACTCCGTTCGAAGCCTGCGTCTTTCTTCCCTGGATTGATTGGCTTGTGTGGCTAATTCGTCTAACTGCTTTTTTACTCGTTGAATTGATTCCTCAAAAAACCGGTTCTCTGTTACCCGAATCATGCACTGAGCATTCTCCTCGGCTAGCTGGTTATTTTTAGCCTCTTGTTTTTCCAGCTCGTACTCTAAGGTTTTCCTTTCAGATTTTAAGCGCTCCAATTGCACTACAGCTTCTGCACTGCATTGTCTCAAACGAGCTAACTCGGTTTGTAAATCTCTCACTGTGACTACCTTGCTGTAGTATTCATCATGCACCCTCTGATCTTCCAATGAACATGCAATTTCACAGTTGGCCTGATCACTGCCCATGCATTCAGTCACATTCGTACCGTTTGCTGCCGTTGTCGCCCACTGAGCACACATCGGGATGTCATCTGCGGTTACCGTATGATTAACCCGAGTTGGCGTGGGATCCGATTCCGTCCAGCGCGAAGTTTGTGATGAATCTTGATTACTTCCTGAAGTGGATAACTTCTCCCCTTGATCCATGGCGATCTCAATCGAGACACTGTCGTCTTCTGGCTTGGTGGTTGTAGTGGACACCTGCTGTTGGTCATCTGATGAACTAGAATTCGTTAACTTGTCAGAATTCGACTTTTCTGGTATGTTTTTCTTGCCGATAGCGTGCTGAACAACTCTCGAGCGTCTGAGCTGAAACACCATATCCTGTAACAACTCCAGACAGACCTAAGCGGGTGCACCGTGTTTGAATTGTATAACTCACCGGTACTATTGATCATTTGGTCCAAGAATAGTAGTTTAGTCACGTGAAGTTGAATCAGTGACCAGCCCTAGCTGCTGGTGCTAGCTGCGTCAGGCGTAACCGAAAGAAGCAAGAGGCACACGTTACCGACTATTTGTTGCCACCCGGTCACGCGAGGGCCTGGCATATTGCGTAATCGTCCGCACCCACACGGGTTCGTAATGGCAACTTCAGGATCACAACGCAAGCGCAAAATTCTATTGGCCACCAGCCAACGCAGTAGAACCGACACTGGGTCATCTTGATGACGTTCATCTATCGAAGAAGTGATAGTTCCATCATAGATGATCTAGCAAGTCATTTCTTTTCTCTATTGTACATGCAGTCTAGTAGCATCTATCCGCTTTTATTTCAAATGCGCATCGTAACTCGAGTTCAGTGAACCACTGTCTTTTCTATTCTTGCAAGATTGCTATAACTTTTCTTAGCTCAGGCATGTGCATTGCTGCCAGTCCGATATGCGGTCTGTAAGTGCACTCTCGAGAACTGTTCTCGGTGCATGCATCATAGATCAGAGGCTGTCAGTCAATTTCTTCATTTCTTGTACCACGTCATCGAGTGGCCACCTCGCGGTTTCGCCCAACTTGGTGCAGCCACGGTATACACGCGGAGGAAACCGGTCAACGGGCATAGAGAGGATATGGCCTAGCCAACGTAAGCGATTAAGATTCAGCAAACACTCGATTGAGGTACCAGAAGGCTTCTTGCCAAAGTTAATTGGCGGACCTCGGCATTGCTCACCCAGTGTTTCCACCAGATGTGAGCGATACTCCGCAAAACCAGTGACCAAAAATGGCCTGGCGTTTAATGTCTTCACTGCGAACTGACCAGATCTCGGATCCAAGCAATAACACCAGCCTTATCACAACGTTATACGCCCTTCCTTTCGCTAGCAAACTAATATTCCACCGTCTTAATGATCAACCTGCAACGACCGCATCTTTCCGCTTCATTAGGAGTTGGTGATGTGGAATGAACTCTTTTGTGAAAAAATCGGTGATCTAATCGACACAAAGCCATAACGTCGTTCTTCGTGCACCTAGAACGACTCATTTCTATGTGCATGTCTAGTGTTAGATCATGCGATTTCTTTTCGCCAGAACTCTCAAGTTAACGAAGTTTGAAAGTTTATCTTCGCTTTTCGACAGCCAGATTTATGGATTAATGTCTATCGAAGATAAGCCCCATTCCTGGACAGCGAGGTCGTTAGCTGGAAATGCCGGCAGTGTGTGAACAATATTCGTGCCACTGCTTACTGAAGGTCCTATACTGAAGACAGTACTAGCCGTGCATGAAGGTTAGCACCATCACGAAAATAGGTCAACACTACATGATTGCTCGTTGATTACGAGGTAGATGTTAAGGCCTCAGGTAGCTTGATACTTTTTTTCATGATTAGTTAACTGAATTGAACTCTTTCAAAATGATGCTTGCACAGTTTTACCTTTAGGTAGTGGCACGTCTCTAGTCAGGTTCGGAACTGGCACTCTGCAAACCTTTCACCCTAAGAGAAGGCTGATGCTGATAAGGTTCCCTATATCAGCGTCCAGCTGTCGCGACCTTATATCATAAACTGCAGTATCGGCTCCGTTGGTCTGCAGCCTCCATCCTATTCTTGCTCAACTTCAGCAAAGCTGTTCAACCGGCTACAGCTGACCGCTACTACTAGTGGACGCGGAGTGTGCTTGTGGCTGTGTGGTAACCATATATCAATCGGATCATTAACCCCCACAACGCAATCAAAGAAATCAATTGTGGATCATACAATTATAGGTAGAAATTTAAGAGATTTAAAGATCTCTTCCCTTCCACGGATCCAACGAATTGTGGCGTGCAGTTCTTATCCTAGTGTAAAGGCGTATGCATCCTCTTGTAACTGAAAGATTTGCACTTTGCTTGGCACTTTGTTTGCCATTGCACTTTCTTCGGTCATCCGCGTTTCGCGGACTTACGGTTCCAATGCTCGCCACACATGCTTATGCTTACGCTCATCCGAAACAGTTTGACGAGCATTACACGGTGCTCACCACCTCTTGACTCTAACTTGGGTGTATCAGGTTGTTGTTGCAGTTCAATATCTTGACAATTATTCGCCCATACTCATGTATGCAACTACCTCACTCCTGATCTATGTGGGGATAATATTGGTCTCATTAGGAAGAAGAAGCTAAGGACTATCAAAAGATCCTGAAACCATCGCTGCAGGATGCAACAGAAAAACAACCGAACAGTTTACCTCGGTCATCCAGCGAACATTGGTGTGGAACTAGCGCTCTGCTTGGTGCCGTTGCATAACCTGAACTGATAAATACATGCAGAACTTTCGTGTGGGTTTGTCCATACAACCATCCAGAGGGCAGATCGCTGCATCCGGCAATCTGCGCGCGGCCAAGTGAGAGTGGGACAGCCACCTGTCCCGGAAAGCTTACCTTCGCGCCGAAACGAAGAACCTGACCAATGGATAGGGTTAAGAGGTGAACTAATCATCAATACTAGATGTAGTGAGGCTTGAGCAAACGGCCGAGCCTGGTCAGCCTGACTCGCTAACCGTGGACCGTGGAACGCAGTAGATTCACCCGATCGAGGAAACTTTATGCGACTGGCAGTGACCAATCACGTGAGAGAAAATCAATACTGCGGCGCAGCAAACATGCCAATAGCACGTTAAATTTATGGAAAATCCGGAAGCACAGGTTGGTCAGCTAAACGATGAGTAGTCACCCGTGGCGTAGCAACTACTTTTGCCGCCCGGCGTGGACGCAAAATTCCCCCCCCCCCCACCTTAGCAGTTATAAATCAGTAAGCCCTCACAATTGCAAGCAAAACTTTAATATTTCGTTTCATATACTGACAGTTAGAGATATAAGTTAAAATGCTGTCGTAAATTCAGGCGTTTGTGTTGCTACAATACTCGTGAAAAAGCTTCCAGATGAATTTTGCGTGCATTACTTGAGGTAAAAGTATTGATAATCCTATTAAAATTCTGTCCATTTGCAACTTCCCTCTCTATGGGAAGAACTGGCAATCAGTGAGTCCACTCCGGTTCTTTGATGATGGTGGGTACTTCTTCATGAATTAGCGTCTTGTGAATGCGCTCTCGCAGCTTGCAATGCTAATAGTTCTGGTACGAAAGCTGCACAGCTGATTCCCTAAAGTAATATTTCCATATGAAGCTCGGAAGTTCCGAATGTTCATTAATTTTGTCGTTTCCTGAAACTTTCACAAAATACTGCAATTTTCTCCTCTCAGTAAGGAATCCCTACTTTCTATATCTTCTTCAACTTCGGTAAACGGATAACTATAGTTATCATCAAGCAGATTTGACAGTGTAAGTAAAGCATATTTAAACAACTTGAAAATTCCCATTAGAGTCAAAAGAACACGAGACCATAGGTGAACGATTGTTTTCGATGATTCTCTTCAGACCATTACAGTCATATTTAAGGGTAAAATAATAAACCGAAATCGACTCATTGGCTTGAATTACATAGTTACTTAACGGTTCAGTGAGGGAGGCTAAAAGTTGATTTTTGACCTGACAGGTCGATTACATGGTACCGAGCTTGATCTGTGGCAATCGACCTCAGGATCGTTCGTTCTAGCTGGCCGGGAAAGCTGTAAGGCATGGAGCAACTTCTTCTGCGAGCATAATGAAGGTTGAAACAACCGAATGCAAATCGATTCAGCTGTCGCGAGTGCACGGAGGCGCAAATCACTTGACTGATGCAGGAGGACCCTGTAAATTATCCTGGAGGCACGCTTTAGATGGATTTGGTGCTCCGTGTCGACAATATGGGCCAAAACGGCGCTGCTAATGGTTCCAGGAACTGGGGCCAACTAGAGCGAACAATGCTGAGGTCGATTGCCACAGATCAAGCTCGGTACCATGTAATCGACCTGTCTGGTCAAAGGTCAACTTTTAGCTTCCCTCACTGAACCGTTAATTAACTATGTAATTCGAGTCAATGAGTCGATTTTAGTTCATTATTTTACCCTTAAATATGATTGTAATGGTCTGAAGGGAATCATCGAAAACAATTGTTCACCTATGGTCTCGTGTTCTTTTGAAAGTATATTTGTTTGCAAGATCATGAATTTTCCGAAAGTTATGACATTTCATCAGTCACACTATCTATGACAGGCGACATTTCCTGTTTTAGCTCAGCCCCAAACAACTCTTCACTGCCTATTCGTTCATTTGGCAGATTCGACGCCTCATGCTTATCCCCAGTTCAGCATAGTGTTTTTGGATTCATCCATTGCAATGTTCACCATTTTACTCTCTATTCTGAAGTAGGCAAGCTCAGCGTTGTAAACTTAACATGACTTTGCTGCGGATCTAGCCCTTTTGTTTAGACATAACTATGCATCCTTGATTTCTATCAGAACAGATATCCAAAAGCTCAAAAGCAAACTAAACGAAAACCACACTACCGAGAAGATAACTAAAGATGCATCTGATCTCATTTGCTCCCTATTTTGAGAAATCTTTAGAACGGTGATGAGTTCCGAGTATATTTTCACCACAGCATTTACAGCGTCTGCTCGACTACTCCAACTTTTTGCAAGTAGTAGGGGGATTTGTTAGGTTTTTCTATAGCGCTTTCCTGGATGTGTGGTGGCTGTCTGTCTGAGTCTAACTGCAACGAACCTACAGAAAAACCTAACAAATCCCCCTGCTACTTACAACTAATCAGTAGTCGCCTTAGCGGGCTACATGCCACCTCGATTGGTGGCAAAAGGAAGTCGTTGCTCTGGGGGCCAGTCCTGTCCTTTGCACATTCATAACATGCAAGACAGTGGAGGTGAGCCGCGCTATATCGCAGTTCGATATCAGTCATGGCGGTCCGCTGCCGTCGCATATGGCCCAGTGACATAAGTCGCTGACTCGCAAGAGTAA